CTGATCATTTTAACTAACACTATGAGAACATATATGTCTGCAGTCGCCTTAATTCTTAATTTCACCCGCACCAGGTCTTTCGCGGTGGTGTGCGAGTGGATAGGAATTCGTGTAGAAGTACACATCATTCTTCGAACGTGTTTAGTTCTATGGGGCACACTAACCTGCACTCCTCCACAATATACATCACATACATCCAAATATTTTATCCTGTAGGTTTGAATTGAGGCTTCAGTCGGAACGCATTCGTACTTGACACTACTTCCAGCAGCTGTCTCTGACAAAAACATTCTGGGCAACATTTCGCTCACTTCTCTGGAATTCTAACGTGTTCATCCACTTTTCTTGAGCGCCATCCTTGAGATTGCCACATCACTTGTCTTGAACTGCTGAGCTCCTAAAAACTGTGGTGTCGGGTTTCTTCGCAGAAGCGACTTGCCGTCACGTGTACTGAGTTGGTGAATGGGACGGACGTAAGGGAGCCGCCGTTGGAAGTTCTCGGTCAATAACGGTGGCCCACACAACAGGACTTTACCGGACTACGACTCGTGACCAACGCACGTAGGTCCCTTTATAAGGACCTTCAACCAACCAAGTCACTATATCGAGAGTTGTGTACAACACTCCAGATGACCCGTAGTCGAGATCCGCACTTAGGCGAGTCATCGTCGGGTGATTGGTCGAGTTATCGTTAGCCGTTTGAGAGTCGCTAGATTAGTCGCATTTATACTTGATATTTGTGTACACTATAGTAGGAGTTAGGACTACTCTTAACGTCCACTAGGGCGGAGAACAGAACAGAATTTGCCACTTAAAGTCAAGACTTCTTTTGGGTAAGTCCAAAATGGCCAGGTCACTTAGGGTGGCATATATGTCTGTTGGTGAACTCGGTTGAAGAACTCCTGTTCATCCGTGGCAAGACCAAGCGCTAGGTGTAATGTTTGGTCGTATTGAAGGCCGACGAGTCATCGTCGAAGACTGGAAGCACATTCCCAGTAATTCTTACCGCTGGAGCAAGTGCCCGGCACCCCTATGTCTGGCTGAAAAGCCAAGCACCTTCCACCACTGAAGGGCAGATAGGGTCAAGTTGAAGGAAGAAGAGAAGACGACTTGGAGTGCTCGTACCAAGGACGTCAGTTTTGGTCGACCTACGGCCTATCACCTTACCAGCGCAGAGTCAAGTGGAGCCCGGAAGGGATCGAGTCAAGGACTATCGAGTATATTCCTTTGATCCTGCTCGTCGTTAGCTCTTGCAGAGCTGATGAGGTGTTGTGAGTGGCGCGAGGGGTACAATCGTGAATCCCAACACGACAACTGGTGCCGCGACCCGGGACTTCGGTTGACATTCTGTGCTGATAAGAGTGTTATTTTGTAGGTTCGACTACGAGCCGAGAAGTGAAGAGAAAGCAAGTGACAATGGCGAAAGGATCAAGTTATGCGGTACCAGTTACGCCATCGAGAGGCGAGGACCGAGCCAACTACAACTCGACTCCTGGTACGGAAGACCTGGTGACGACTGGGCGATCCATCAGCTTCGAGGACCGAGCCGACTATCATGACGCCAAGGATGAAGACGATTACGTCGACGATGAGTGGAGGACAAGGCACCCGTACAGGAGCCCGACCTCCACGAAGATGCAGATGTGTTTGTGACGAAGAGTGGTGGCGTGAAGTCGCTGTCACGCAACCTCGCAGACGAATTTGAAGAAGCAGGCAAACCAGAGCCTGCTCATGATGATATTGACGAACTTAACGACGACTTGAAGAAGTTATCGATGATGACTCGCGGCGCGAGTCAACTCACAACGAAGAAGGATGTGAACCGTCCGCCGATCAATGGAGACACTCCAGCTGCAAACAAGACACTTGGACAATGCTTGAACGCGATGCTGGATACCAGCAGCTGGATCCACCTGTTTGCACCGAAGGCAGCGCGACAGGCCGTGTGGTCGAAGAACTCAGTCATCCTGTGAACTCGACGAGTACAAGTCAAGTAGCTGAGGACACGGTGTCCTTACTATGGGCATGGAAGCTCACGCTCACCCGTCGTCGACAGCCCTCGACGACTGGACTGCGTCGGAAACAGGCACTGAGCTGCAGCGGTGGAAGCGGAAACTCAAGACGGCGTTTGGAAGCAAGGATGTTGGTACTGGACGACAACCGGTGGCTCGATCTGTCGGAGAAACAGTGAATCCATAAACCTTCCGTTGTATTCCGTTGCCAAAGGACGCTGAAGAAGACCACCCGAGAAGTGTTTGGTTCAGCCGAACAGTCGCCATACTTCCATGACTCGCACATGGTTACACCAAGGTCGGACAACCGTAAGGCATGCGTTGCTCGAGAAGCAGAGCAAACGGAATCGACGGCAAACACTCGACCTGGCACGAGAAGAAGCTCTTTAAGACGTCAAGCAGCTGTCGATGACTCGTCCAGTGATGAAGGGAACCCATTCTATCAAGACGATGATGAGAATGACGCTACAACAGAGCTGGCATGCCAGATCCGGGAACTTACTGCGATGGAAGAGATGGACCCGACTCCAAGGTTCGAGATCGCTCAACATCGTCCGTTGGGTAAGATCATTCCCTTCCGTGGTAAATTGGACGAGAGCGAGAACTCCATGCAGTGGTTGAGAGGTTTTGTGTATGAGATGAAAGGTACACACACACCTCCCAACGAATGGTGCATGGCTTCCCAACTGAGTCTCAGAGATGGTGCCGTACACTCGCACAGAGCTCTATCTCGAAAGACGAAGCGCACTTGTAGTTTGCTGAGTGACAAATTCATCAGATACTACTGCTCGCAGTTTAGTCAATCAGCTAGCACTCGGCACTATCGAGCTAAGCGGTTGGAGAAGGAGCACATTCGCGACTATCTAAACCGACTGAATGGCTATGCACGTAGTGCCAATATCAAGTTTGAACGCAGCGGTCGTGAAGCGAAGGAACATGTCAAACATTTTCTGGAGACGTGTGGAGATCGAGATCTCGAGCGACAACTCGCTCCTATGCAGTTACGTGATATTCACACGCTTGAGGATATCGTCAGTGACATCCAGAAGGTGGAGAAGCGAGTGTCGAATCGTGTCAAAGTTCGTCCAGGCGTGATGATAAGCTGTTTGTTGTTTCACAGTTTTGCAGAGTAGTTAATCGTTCAATTCTTTCTTTGTCATGTCCATTTCCATCGCATTTCGAGAAATTCATTCCATATCCATTTCATGCATTCATACAGCAGCAGTAGCAATTTTCGTCTGGTATTGTGAGCTGCTTTACCTCACAACCAGGTCGTTCATCATGATATTTTCGACTTTCAGTCCTCGTCAGCGACTTGGACCATCTGTAGACGTTGCTCACTCTTCTTGTTCCGCAAGTAGCATACAGGAGCCCTGCATGAATTTATTCAATTCATGCATGATGTAGTTGTACAGTAGTGTTGTTGCTGCCAGGCGAGCTGTACTAGCCTCGCTGACAGATCGCCTCACATACTGATATCATCACATTCGTCTGTTTGCGACGGACGATGGGGAATCAGCTCAGAGACTTGTGTCATCTGTGTAGTATCTCTTTTCGTCTACTACCATGGGCTACATCACCCCACGGGTAGTTCAATCTTCAGGTATTGCTGTTGTAGTCTTCGTCAGCCACTTGGACCATTTGCAGCCGTTATTCACTGCGCTTTCTGCGGAGATAATCGTAGAGGAGGCCTCCACACGATAGGTTATTGGCGGGCTCCCACGTCGGTTCAATGTATTCACCTTGATTTCTCGAACTGCAAGCTCCGTCCTTGTTGTCATCGGGGTTCGATCGTCGGGGATAGCCTCTACCCCGTATTCTCCTGCAAGCTGGTCTGGTTCCCAGCTATCTTCTGGCAAGAGTGCTTTCGTCGAAATCCAATCTCAAGTTCTCGGTGGCTTCGGTGGTTAACTTGACGTCTGGTCGGCTCTCGTACTCACTCACTGTCTTGAGTCTCGATACATGCACCACCGGGTAGAACCGGTAACCACTACGAGCTCGACTTCATATGCGAACTCTTCCACCTTCTTCTTGATACGGGATGGGTTATGCCATCGGTGAGCAAGTTTCTTTGTCAGTCCTGGCTTGACCCGCTCCACGTACAACCAAACTCGTGCTCCTGGCTGGAAAAGTGACTTCGGTGTATCTCCCGGGGAATTGTCCTCTGACTATTGTTTTGAAGGAGCATTGTTGTCATTTAAATGGTAGCATTCTTGATAGTATCTAACGACTACAAAGACCTGGCCCTACAGATGCTTCAATCATCATCTGGAGAGTGGAGCTCTCATGACAACGAGATTACTTCCATCGTGTTAGCCTGTTTCGGCCTCCACGTCCGACATTCCTGACCCTGTTTCTAAATATACACCTCTCCAATGTTCCATGTCACCCGATGCGATACGGAGCACATTAGCCCATGGTGGAATATGATCGACCTGATCCGACTTAAAGATCTGTCTGCTTACCCGTTCATACATAGCAACATTTGCCAGTTGGTCGGCAGCTTTGTTAAATGCACGAATATGATGGGTCCATGGGCGGACATGAACCCTATCCACTATCCCTTGACACTGTGAATATATACTTCTGGGATGAGGAGCTTTGGGTGATTTTCGATGCCTCATCTGGTATATGATCAGTGCACTATCGCCGACGACGTGAATGTAACGTAGCTGTATCTCTGCCGCTCGACTTAATCCATCTTTTAGACCTCGATATTCTGCGATATTATTCGTGGTTCGACGCGAAGAAAGTGAACCACTGGCCATCCATATTAACTGGGGTTCAGTTCCTACACACGGAACTGTGATCAGTTTGTCCTCTGACTAATCTGTTGTGTCATTGTTCGGCGGGGCCTTTCTCTCTCTGGCGCTTAGGGATTCGTTATGTTTAAGCGCCCGCCGAGATTTTTCAGTCGCTTGGTACTCCTAGGCCATTCTGAGGGCTATCTCATGCTGTCGGTTTACTTCTCGTCGCCATTTAAGAGCATCACTGTCGTGCGCATCCTTGCTTAAACGACGATGCCATCGCCTTCAGCGTCGAATTTGCATCCCATCCGTGGACTAGGTAGAAGGATGTCTCCTTCCGCGTAGCGTCGGTGGAGTTGTTGTTGGCGAATATCAACGTCTCTGCGATCTCATCCCAGTCCTGTTGCAGAGGGCCTTCTGCTTATAGACGAACTGACTGCATGACTGTCTTCACTGACTGTTCTTGTTGTCCGTTAGCTTGTGGTCGGTAACTCAGCGTGACCCTCGATCTCGATTGCATCATTTCCGCGAACACTTGAAACACTTCACTCATGAAACGAGAGTCTCGGTCATGCCTGATCAACGACGGCGCGCCGAATCTTCGGTAGATATACTCTTTGAATGCTTGTGCGCCCCGGAGTGCTGTCGTGTCCGCCATCGCTTCCTCATGACAAAACGTGAAGGCGCATTGAAAAAGCAAACCGAGCCGTATTTTCCCACCAAGACTTCGGTAACGGTATAACGAAATCCATGGATACAATTTGGAATGGCCTCTCTGCTAGCACATTGCCAGGTGAGTACCCTTGATGTTGCGGACGGCTCTTGCTGGAGCTACAGTCGGGGCAGGAGCGCACATGTCGGTCCCCGTCGGCATACAACCCTATCCAATAGTAGTCCCTCCTTACTTTATCTTTGGTCCGCACAATGCCTTGGTGGCCCCTTCCAGTGAATCATGGCAATTCTGTAGCACTTCTTGGATCAACGTCGTTGGTACGACCAGTCGTATTACCGTGTTGCCTACCCCTGCGCTGGTTCGTTCTCTCGTAGAACAATATGCCATCCTCGCTCAGTACGAACTTCTCGGATATTTTCCATGTATCGCGCGCTGCTTTGTAGCTTAGCTTCGCTTCGTCGCCTCGCAACACTGCTTTGAGGTTGTACCATCTCAGTTCCTCGTTTTGGGCTACTGCGATTCGCTTCCGACGTTCATGTTGGACCTTGAGCGGGTCTATGTCTTCTGCCGTTGACGGTGTCAGTGTATCATGGGCGACGCCCGTTGGAGTTATTTCCTCCGTCTCTGTTGTCCTCGAGACTTCGGTGGGGTATCGTTCACATCCTCACGTTGTGCTCTCTCGTGCTGGCCCCCTCCGAGGCCTGGTCGGCAAAGCTGACACGTCTCTCCTTCGACCTTGCCTGGCTTCTTGTGGTTACCGTTACGAATTTAGGTTCGGGTTCGTTGCGCACAAAATCGAAAAAATATTTGGGACGCGGCGTGTCCCGCACCGTGTATCGTACTTGAGACCGGATCATATCAACCGATGATATCTCGTGTGTTGGGCTGCTGGCCTGCTGTCCGTAAATGACTTTTAGGATTCGATTTAGCTCAGCAAGTTCGGACAATCTCTCTTCGGCCGACACCACTTTCGACGTCCTGCTCTCCAGAGCTTCACTTGCTAACGAGTCCGCGGCTGCATTATACTCTCTCACGACTTGAAGGTATCGGACAGAGATTAACCTAGTCAATTCTCGGTGGTGGTTAAGTTTCGCCATAAGCAAATCCTTCTTGCACGCGATCACCCCTATGGATTGCTGGATTGCTGGTCTCGAGTCGCCAACGATTACCAAATCCTCGACTCCATTATCGAGCGCGGCCGCAACACCGTTATTCATTCCGGGATATTCGGCTACATTTACTGTGGTGGACTCGAGAAAAGCGCTCGCAGCGATCACTATAGTCCATCCTGGTAATTGCCACAGTATCCACGAGCAACTACCGTACCATCCATACTTCTCGGTTTTGGCGGAACCGTCGAACGACATCACTAATCCCGCTTATGACGGTGAAAGGCGTGCGTAGAGCAGCTCCGGGCTACCCAAACTCTCGATGATCCCTTTGTTGGCGGTGCGACCGCCGTCAACAATTCCTTAGGTCCACAAAACTCGTTAATCCAGCCTGTAGCAATTGCGCGAAGGCGCAGTCTTTTCCTTTCACCCGAGTGACGACAAAGAGCCACGGAGACAACATTACCGCAAATTGTGTCGTCCGACCGACCAGTGTCTTGGACGTGTGTACCCAGTCGGGCGTCGAGAAGCGTGTATAAACATATATGGTCCGACCTACCAGTTGCGTATAGCACACCTTCAGCAACAGCAACAGGGCTAACACCTCTTTCTCCGCCGGATGATAGTTCATTTCCGCGTCCTTCAGTACTCTACCGCAGAACCGAACTAGGTGTAATTTCTCGTCATGCTTTTGCAATAACGTTGAACGCAACGCCCACTCATTTGCGAACAGCGTTACATACACCGGTTTAGCTCGGTCGAAATGGCGCAGAAGTGAACCCAAGAATTACTATGGCCAATTCCGGACCGGGACAAGGTGGTACGATGGTTAGGGTTGAAGTGAGGTGTGATAGCCAACCTAGGTATGCACGAAGATAGTCAGCGATAGGGAGATAGGCAGAGCAGAAATCAGTCCCAAATATTCTTGGTGGCACACAAGTGTCCCAAGTTTTCCTAGTCCTACACAAGTCCACGCGTCTTCTAGTCCTACGGAAAGCTCCCGTCGACTGGCCAGTAGAGCCGCCACGATAAGCGTGGCCCCCAGCCGTCGGAAGTACTTTCGGTGTACTCAACCTCCAACCCCGTGCCCGAAGCGAGGGATACGTTAAACGATACCACCGCGGCGTCCCACGATAACCGGACGCCATGTGTGAAGGCCAGTGCTAGCCCGATAACGCTGCGCAAGCCCTGTGGAACCGCCGGCCCGATAACGCCGTACGGCCACGAACAACCCCAACGACGGAAGCCGAACAAGGTCCGACGTCGTCAGTCAGAAGAGCGCGGAGCGAAGACCAGCTAAGAGCAACAGCCGCTACACGGTTCGTCACCAAGCTTGACCAACGATTCTACTCAGAGATACGCTGCTCAAGATCCGAAAAATACCCACCATCCGCATGGACCCCAGTTGCTCTACGGTCGTTTACCCCAATCCTACAGTGGGCTAGTGGTCTCGTTTGATGGATCGGCCAAAACCGAGAAGTACGGTGGCTATGGTAGTTGCTCACGGATTGTCTGGCGACTACCTGACTGGACAATAGTCACCACTGCGAGTGCTTATCTCGAAACAACAACAGTGAACATGGCCGAGTACTCTGGCATGAACAATGGGGTCCAGGCGGCACTGGACATCGGTGCCACCGACCTTGTCATTGTTGGTGATTCGAGACTAGCAATCCAGCAGTCACTAGGGGCGATTGCGTGTAAGAAGGAGTCGCTTATGACCCAACTCAACCGCCACCGAGAACCCGTTGCACGACTAAAGTCAGTCAAGTACCTACACGCTGTACGAGAGTACAATGCGTCGGTCGACTCGTTAGCAACAGAAGCATAGGAAAACAAGGCGTCAAGCGTTATATCTGACGAGCCCAGGCTAGCAGAGTTGAGGTCACTGAACCGTATCCAAGAGGTCATCTATGCACTCATCACCGAGTCCTCGGCGGACGAACCCTCGGTTAGCACCGCACAAGCGCAAGTTCAGACGCGACATTTGCAACAAATGGAACCGTCACAGCGATCCGGAACTGCCCGGATCCGCGTCGAAAACTTTCTTCGATTTTGTGCGAAGGGGCCAGAGGGAGACAGGGGACCTAACGGTAACGACCAGGTTACAAGCTAGGTCGAAGCCCAAACGCGTCATATTTGCCGACGAAACCTCGGTGACAGGTGGAGAAGACGTAACACAACGCGAGGAAGCCGACGGTGTGCCAACAGAGGACTCGGTCCGTCTGGAAACAGAGTTCTCAAGAGTAACGGCACCCAACGGTGATACCCCCGTATTGCCTGACGCGGAAGACGTGGACCCCCTAACGGTCCAAAGAGATCGCCGAAGATGAATTGCGACTGCTCAGGACGAGGAGTTACGGTGGGCGAATTTGAAGATAGTTCTCCGCGGGGAAGAATCAACCCTATCGTACCGTGCAGCGAGAGACGCGTGGAAAATGTCCGACCACTTCATCCAAAGTGAGGACAACGTGCTCTACTATGTGTGGGAACGAGGCCTCTGAGGAGTGACCAATAGCAAGAAGAGGTGTGGCGAAGCGGGATCCGTGAAAATCTTGTGATCGCGGTTCCCGATACCACTTGCGCCCGGACACCGACTAACGAAGGGGGTCCTCCGATGATCCGTGATGTGTCTTGCTCACCTTGTGTACCCGACGGCGGGCGGGTTACGCTCTCCTGGGTGACTCGTTCGATGTGTATCCGATGCGGGCAGAACACAGGGGCAGAGATAGCGCGGAACTTCTTCGCTCTATCTCGGTCTTGGTTGATCTCGGTCACTGACGACTCCTTGAGTCGTGGTCGAGATGCCTGGTTGTTGACCCCAGGTCTTGGTGTGGGGATCTTGCCCCTACCTTGATGTGCTTGCCGCCTCCAATAGC